CTGTTGAGCACAGAGAGATTCTAAAGGACCAGCTCCCAGGGAAAAGCCTGGCACAGCTGGATCTCCAAAGGACTTCCTTGCATGTAGGACTCCTTTGTGCCTCCTATGAGATCCCATTACACCTCTTCCACTGCTTTTTCTTTAATTGCTGCAGATGATTTTTTTTTTCATGCAGCACAAACTGACTGCTGATGGAGTCAGTGCCATGTGCTGCTGGAGACACAGGAGGCTTGAGTGGAGGGAGTAATGGATGGCAGAGGAGATGCCAGCTGCAGATCACAGGGACATGCACAGCACTGTCATTGGCTGGCTTGCACAGATTTCCTCCCAAACAGCATTTTTTTAATCTAAAAGAATGCAAGAAACTGGAACATGTCTTGCTTCATTCATGGCTTCCCTGGAGGCAGCAGCAGCATGTTAAGGAAAAAAGAGAAGGAGGAGGAAAAAATAGTCAGAAGCACCAGGTGGCTGAATATCTTGCAGCCTAATTGATTCCTCTTTAATTAGAACAAAACCTGTTGCACTCAAGCAGCATTCAGTGCCAGCTTTGGAGAAAGCAGCATCTTCCCTGGCCCTGTACCAGCACAGCTTGGCATGGAGGGAGAGAGGAACCTCAGGGAACCATGTGGAGCTGACAGTGCCTCTTCCACACCTGGGAATTCAGGCAAACTCCAGCTCCTGCAACTTTCTTCGAGGCAGCAGGAGCAGGATGAAGGAGAGCCAAGCATGTCAGTGTCTGCTGCACACTGAGCTGCAGCAAGGGACTTGGCTGGGGTGAACTGAGACTTCACAGGGATGTCTGTGCCTGTGCCTCACCTCACTTGGGAACTGCTCACCACTTCTCCCACAAATCCAGTTATTTTTAAAATGGGAAAGAGCTCGGCTTCATTTGCAGTGAAATGATTTCTGTGCTTTTTGACTCTTCAGTTTTGGATGGATGTTCAAAACCTTGCCTGTGTTGGGGACCTGCAGGGCTGTGTCCAGCTCTGAGGCCCCAACATGAGGACATGGAGCTGCTGGAGAGGTTCCAGAGGAAGCCATGAAGATGCTTCCATGGCTGGAGCACTGGAGCTGGGCTGGGAGAGCCTGGAGAATTGAAGCTTCCAAAGAGACCTCGGAGCTCCCTCCAGAACCTAAAGGAGCTCCAGGAGAGTTGGAAAGGGACTTTGGTCAAAGGTCTGGAGTACAGGACAAGGGGAATGGCTTCCCACTGCCAGAGGGCAGGGTTAGATGGGATATTGGGAAGGAATTCTTGGCTGTGAGGGTGGTGAGGCCCTGGCAGAGGCTGCCCAGAGCAGCTGTGGCTGCCCCATCCCTGGCAGTGTCCAAGGCCACTTAGACTTGGACTAGTGGAAGGTGCCCCTGCCCATGGCAGGGGGTGGGACAAGATGAGTTTTAAGGTCTCTCCCAGCTCAAACCAGTCTGTGATTCCATGAAAACAGGCTCTGCACTGCCTGGTACAGGTTAACTGGCAATGTCAAACCTTGTCCCCTGCAGCACCCACCTGGTCACATCTCAAATGCTTTTGGCAATGCCACCTTATGGTTTTAATTCTTTGGTCCTTGTGACATGTGCAAGGGCTTCCCCTGGTGCAGGGTGGCTGTGGGGGCTCTGCTGTCCCCTCCCAGCTTCTCCCCAGCACACCCAGGAGTTGGATTCTTCTCCTGGGTTGCTAGTTCTATTGAAATGTCATAGAGGATGAAGTGACAGCTTCACCTGTCTGTGGGTTTTGTAGCAAAGCCCCCAGCACCAACTGCCTTGGGATGGCTGCTGTTGTTCCAGCACAGTGACTGCTCCCCAGCAGAAAACCCCAAAATAATAATTTGAGTAGCAAAGTGTCATTTTATAGCCTATCCCTGCTGAAAAACCTTTCTTATGGTGGGAGCACCAGCCCAGCAACCCCTGGGGAACTGAGATGGCTTCTTCCATCTGTTTAACATGTAAAGGGGCACAGATGCTGTTAAGTCTGGCCTGGCCTCTCATCAGGCAGCTCCATCCTTTGCAGGTGCTCTCAGGAATTGCAGGCAGAGAAGAGGAAGCTGAAATGCAAATGCTGTGAGCAGGAAGCTGAGAAGGGAAAAAGCATCCTCCCAGCCCCTGCATGGAATCCCAGCCGTGCTCTCCTCACTGGGCAGGGGAGCTGGCACTGCCGCAGGCTCCAGCAGTGAACTGATCCTGTTGGAATAGTCTGTAGCAAGAGCTGGAGCAGCTCTGTGTGGGTTTATGAGGGCTCAGGAGCAGTTTTTGTGATGCCAGGCTGTTTAGCTGATGTTACCCACTCTGATCTGGCTGCAGACCTCACACCACTGCTGGTAATGGACAATAATCAATGAATCCCTCTGTGCCAGGAGCACCAAGGCTGGGGAGGTGAATTAGCAGCACAGCAGCCTCAATTTTACCTTGGAACAGGAGCAGCACATCCAAGATGGAAATAGCTCCAGGACAGGTCCCCACCTCATTTTATCTCTGCAGCAAGTGCAGAAGAGGCTTTCCTGAATTATTTTCTTCCTGCTTTCAGGAGCTGGGCACCAGACCTGCATTGCCCAGCTGGAATCCACCTCTCCTGCTCACTCCCCACCCACCCCATCCCCTGGGAAGCAAAAGCCTCTCTGCAGGGAGTGACTCCCAGCTCCTGACTGGGGAAGTGCCAGCACTTAGAGACCTTAGCTCAGCACAGAACACTTGCCTGCCTGCAAAGGCAAAGCCTGATCCAAAGCCCCTGTTCCCTGCCTGGCCCTCCCTCACCCCCAGGAGCTGCCTCCCACATCTGCTCACTCCCAGCAGGCAGATGCTGATTCAAAGCTGTGCCCTGTGGAGCCAGTTTGCTGGGATTTTCCTCTGCCTTGTGGAAGGCCAGTAGTTCCCCACTGTTTTTAAAAATTCTATCTATAACAGTAAGGAACTGTTTAACAAAACAACAGCATTTTTTTATATTTTTTTCCCTCCTTTTTTTCCCCCTTTTTTTTTCAGAATGCACTTCCCCTCCTGTCACTGCACATTCCAGCACTGATGCAGGCACATTGCACTGGGCTGGGTAAAGGTGCCCAGACCTTCACACCAACAGCATCCTCCTCCTCCTCCCTCTCACCCCTGGGACTGGGAAAGCAAAGGGCAGACACAGGGAAGTGGAGATCCACCCTATGGCCATTATTACCTTTCTGTTCAGAGAAACTTTAATCCTGGGCCATTATTTAAAAGAGATTTCATGCTTCACATAAAGATTAACATATTCTGCCTTGCCTTCATGGGCAGTATCAGAACTAGAGCTGCCTTTGTACAGCAGGGCTCTGCTGCTCTAAGCCATTAATCCTGGAAATGAAGCTCCAAGGGTTTAATCACCTATCAGAGAGCCCCCTGGGCTGCTGGAGGTATTTTTAGGATTTAGACGTATTAGCTCAAAACTAAAAAAGCCTGATTTATTGATTAATCACAGTTCAACTGCTGCACATCACCCTCCTCCTCTGCTGGCTCCACCACACCATGTTTAGCTGGGGGAGTTGTTTCTGTTGCCATCCTCCCAGCCTGAATATGAGGATGGAATTTGGGGTGCCATCTTCAGAGTGAGCTGAAGCCAGCAGTGCTCAGAGTGGAAAGAGTCCAGCTTCCCCTTATCTCAACCAATGCATTCACTTTGGGAAAGTTATTTGTGTGCTCTTTCCACCCCAGACAACTTTTATCCTTGTTTCTTTAGAGGTGAAGGATGACCTGGAGGGAGCAGCCCAGCTCTGATGTTTGAGCAGAGTTGGGTGAGCATGAGGAGCCTCAGTGCAGAGCCAGAGGAAAAATCATCTGCCATTCCACCAGCCTCCTCCACTCCTTTCTTGAGCCACAGCCCAAGAACAGGGGAACCAAAAATCCTTTTGGAAAGCCCCTCATCACTCCCATACAACAAAGCATCTGGGGGTTCCCCCTGGTTTTGCAAAGTGCCCAGCAGCTCCTGGCATGGGGAGTCCAGAGATGTGACCCCTCTGCACAAGGGAACAGGGATTTATTCCCTTCCCTGGGGGATTCCCAGACTGTGCAGACAGACCCTGAGGAGCACCAAGCTGCTTCCTGGGGATGAACAGGACAGCTCAGCACTGCTGAGGGCAATCCCTGCACCCAGCACAACCCTTGTTTCACTTTGGCAAGGGGTCCCTGGGTCAGAAATACCTCCAACATCACTCCAGGGGCAGAAAGGAAAGAACTTTTCCAGCTTGCAGAACAGAGGCTCTGAGGCACTGGTGGCTGTACGTATAGATCATATATTTGTGTGTGTAACTCTGCACACAGAGCTGCATCCTTACACACCCGCACAGGTAAATACTTCTAGATAGTGACCTCTTCAGATTAAAGTCCAAGGCACTTTTTACAGTGAACAGGTTAAAGCCATAGTTTAAAACATGCCTGTTTCTGGGTACAGCTCGGGTTTATGGCAATGCTGTGGGGATGGGCTGTTGTCACACGGGCCAGCCCCCACTCCTGTCCTCCAGCTGAGAGACCGGCCCTGAGGGAGGAAGGTAAAGCCCAGGACTGGATCCTGACCACAGAGAACATGCAAGCAGCTCCCACTGGAAGGTGCATGGGCAGTGCTGAGACCCCAGTGGGGGGAAGAACACTTTGGGTGGAAGAAGGAGCAGAGCTGCGTGCTCTGAGCACCAGGGCCCCCAGCCAAGAGCACCCACTTGGGCAGGTGGTTCTGGAGCCCTGCCTGGTGCCTTGTGGGGCTCTGAGGTGGCTCATCCCATAGGGAAATAACTAATGCCATGGAGAAAAAGCTTTGGAAGCTTTTTCTCTCTCCTGCAAAATCCCCTCTCTACAACCTTGGACCCTTTGGATACCTTTTAGGAGGGCGCTTGGAGTTAGGTGAGAAGAAGCTCAGAGCAGAGCCTGGCAGCAGAATCTCCCCAAACTGCTGAGCAATCACCACCATTGCCCCCCAGCAAACATACCTGGTGGCCAAGGCACAGGGCTCTGGGCTGCCTGGGAGGTGCTGGGCAGGAGAAGCCCAAGGGAGAGGACCAGGAGTCCCCTGGCAGCAGCAGAGGCTCAGCCCTGGCCTCTGAGAAGAAGAACCAACCTCTTTCCTCCATCAGAGCTGGTTTCTGCAGGGAGATTTCAGGTCTGGGGTCCAGCAAGGAGCATCCAGACCTCATGGCAGCTCATTGCTGCTGGGGCTCTGCTGGGATGGACTGGCCTGGAATGGTGAGACCAGCACAGCTCTACAGTGGCAGCATGGCAGTGACTGCAGCTCTGAGAAGTGCAGGGACTTCTGGTCTTTCTCTGGACAAAAGCAGCAGGAATTTGTTCCACAGGTGCTGCTCATTCCCTGACATGTCGTGCTCTGTGGAGACTGGCCAGGACAAAGTGTGGTTGCCAAAGAGCAGTTTAAGACTTTTGATCCAGCAGGGATCAGGTCCAGCAGCTCAGGAGGGGCTGGAGGTAAGGAAATGATGCTCTCTGAGGCTCAAGGAGTCCATGGAATCACAGAATCATGGAATCACAGAACAGTTTGGATTGGAGGGGACTTCAAGCTCATCTCATTCCCCATGCCATGGGCTGAGACATTTTCCACTAGGCCGGGTTGCTCCAAGCCCCACCTAACATGGCCTTGAACACTTCCAGAGATGGGGCAGACACAACTCTGGGCAGCCTGTTCCCAGCTGGAAGGCTGAGACAAAACAATCCCTGCAACCTTATCTCACTTCTCTTTCATGCTCAGGGTTTTGCCCTCCTATGCCATCATACCCTGAGCTTGAGCAAAAGCTGCAGCTCCCAGGGCAGGGTGTGAAATGTGAACTGGACATGTCCCAGTCTCTTCTCGTGAGTTACAAGTGAAAGGACAAGAGAAAATGCCTGAAAGTTGTGCCAGAGGAGGTTTAAGTTGGATATTGGGAAAATTACTGGTGTGTAAGTGTGGCCAGGCTGCCCAGGGCAGCAGTGGAGTGCCCATCTCTGGAGGAATTTAGAAGATTTGTGTGTGTGGCACTCAGGCACGTGGGCTTGGTGGTGCTGCTGGGTTAACAGCTGGACTTGATGTTCTTAGAGGACTTTTCCAACCTTAACCATTCCATAATTCAATGAAAATGTGCTCTGCAGCACTGCTTTCTCAAGAGCCACAAAGGAAAAAGGAAACAAAGCCTGGAGGAAAAGGGAAATTTTGACTCTTGCAGAGCTTGTGCCCAAGGAGCAGAGTCCCTCCTGCTGCTGGAGGAGACAGCCTGGGGCAAAATGGCTTTCCAGAACCTGGGAACAAAGGGAAAAACCCTGACCTTTCTGTAGGGAGAAGCAAAGCTCTGGTGCCATTGGGCTGCACACAGATCAGATCCAGACCTGCTAGAGGTCAGCTTCCAAGCACTGGAAATGAGTACAAGGGTGATAAAAGATAACAACTCAGGTTCTGCACCTCTCCCTGTCCCCCATCCTCACTGGCAGTAGTAGCTGTACTCAGAAACAGACATTTTTGGCAGCAGCCTGGCGTTGCTGCCTGCTAACAACCGTGTTGGGTACAAAACCATAATTGAAAGTTACCATAACCATCATAATATAGCAATATATTTCATAGTTAAAATAAACTATTATACTTTCCCCTATCATTAAAAAAAGAAGCGAGCAGTACAGAGGCAAGATGCAAACCCAGGTCAAAGCTCCTTAAGTCTGGACAGAAACATCCATGAGTTTGCAGAGAGATTGTGGAATTTTTCTGGTATTTCTAGGATAGTTCCTTGCAGGCAGAGCAGGAAGGAGACTCGTGGAGCAGAAAAAGCCCCCAAGGCTGTGCCAAAAATGGGACTGGCTGGGTCAGGTGGGTCCTGGAGGGGCATTGGCCCCACTGGGCTGTGGGATCAGACGATTCCCAGCTTGCAGGAGGTCGGCATCTCTGCGATTTTCCTCTTGTGCTGTTCTTCCACCTTGGCTGCTGATCTCTTCTCTCCGTCCTGATGTCCCTTAGGGTACCCAAAGTGATCATCTCAGGTGTGTGGGCTGGGCTGGGCTGGCTGGGGAGCATTTCCTGGAGCTCTTCACCAGGGCTGTGCCAGCCAAGGCTGCTGGTGAGCAGGAGCTGCCATCAGGGTGGGTACGGCGGGCTGGGCTGCCCTGCCCTGGGGCTCCTCACCCTTCCTGCCCCCCGTGTGGCCTCAGGTGGGCTCTGGGCTCCTGGCAGCAGGGCTGGAGGGGGGTTGGTCTCAGTGCTGGCCATGGTGGAGTCTGGTGCTGGGAGCAATGGGTCAGGGCTACTGCTAAAAGTGGCATGGAGTGGGTGAAGGGGTGGGATGTGGGATTTGGGGGTTAGGATGGGCATTCAGGGGTGTGGAATGGGGGGTGCAGGGGTGGGATATGGGATTTGGGCATTCAGGGATGTGGAATGGGGGATGAAGGGGTGGGATATGGAGTTTGGGGGCTGGGATGGGCATTCAGGGGTGTGGAATGGGGGGTGCAGGAGTGGAATATGGGCTTTGGGCATTCAGGGGTGTGGAATGGGGGATGAAGGGGTGGGATATGGAGTTTACAGGGTGTAAGGTGCAGGGCACACAGTGCAGACCCCAGGTCACAGGCAGAGGGGTGGTTGCCCTGCAGGTTGTGCTGAGATGAGGCCAGGGGAGGAAGGTTGTGGGGTGCACAGGGATCCAGTGCCCCAGCCCTGCCGAAATCCCACTGCAGCAGCAGCTGCTCTGCCCCAGAGCAAGGGGCTCCTGCTCCAGCTGCAATCCCAACACTCTCACTCTGGTCCTGAGCACCTTGGGCCTGCAGCTGGCAGCTCCTGCTCTTGTCTCCCTGGGTTGGATGGATTTCCCAGACTCGATTGTGCCTGGCAGGGAGGTTCCTGGTTCCTGCTGGCAATATTGATCTTTAAGGATCAATACTTCCTCTGGCTCTCTGCTGCCCCAGCACACATCTCCACACCTCATCCCATGCACAGCACCATCCCAGGGGCAGTTTGCTCCTATCCTGAAGCCCAGAAAGCATTTTTCTCCACCAGCTGCCTGCAGGCCAGGGAAAATGCTGCATTTCAAGCTCTTTCTCAGAATTTCTAACATTGCTATGCTGGGAACCTCCTGAGAGAGATCAGTAGGAGCTTCTGCTGGGCAAGATGGATGGGGGGCACCCACAGGCACACAGGGCTGAGAACAGATCATGGGGGGATTCCAAGGCAGCAGTGAATCCCCAGCCATCCATGGGATATTAATTATACCAATTACAAAAGCTTGGAGGAGCAGCTCTTCCCCAAAGCCAGGGATCTCCCACTGGCCAAGGACCAGCAGCAATGGGCATGTGAAGGCAACAGGGGTGAGTGCGTTTGTTCCCTGCTCCCAACACCTCTGGAGCACAGGGATCCCATTTTGCAGCCTTCCTCCTCCTCCTCCTCCTCCTCCTCCTAGGGCCAGCATGGGGGCAGCACTCCTCACTAGTTACTGCTTATTTTCTATGTGACTCCAGCTGCAGGGCACAGGGAGTGGAACCACCTCTCACCACTGGCAGCAAGGAAATGCTTCAGCATTGGGGGTGTTGGGGTGGTGCTGCAGGAGGGTGGTGGGTCTCTACCCCTAGGTGTGCACAAAATCCAGCATTATTTATGGAAGGGAAGAAGTTACAAAGGAGAGCATTACAGGCTGAGTATACCTGGAGTAACACAGTGACTGATTACAATTACTGACACTGCTGGGTGAGGCGTAATTAATATTGCAGAGTCATTACATGGTTACTTCATCTGTTTAAAAAATATAGAAATATTCTCTGCTGAGTTTTCATGGAAAGCAGCAAAGAGCAACCCCAAAGTCAGAGCCTGGCATGGCTCCATGCAAGGATCCAGGAAAGCCAGAACGTGACACTGGGGCAGAACTGAGGAGGAGAAAGGGAGAAATGGTGAAAGCAAACCAGAAAGTGGCTGATTCCAGAAGCAGCCAGGTGATGCCAAGGGTACCTCAGGAAGCTGAACACCAGCAAAAAAAAGTAAAATGGGGTCTGAAGTGCTGCACTTTGGCAGGCATGGGCAGCAGTGCCTCTGCCAGACGGTGCCAGAGAGTGCTGCTGCCATCCACCAAACCCAGCAGAAGTGGCATGAAGGCCACGGGCTTTGTTTTAAACAGATGAAGCACCTGCCCCTGCTACCACATCACTTGCCAGCGAGCTCCTGCTTGATCCTGGTGGATTGGACATTGCCAGCTGGGCTCAAGCATGGATGTTCCCAGCACGAGTGGAGACACTTGGAGCTGATGGGGTGTTCATCCAGCACTTCTGAGGCTGCTGCAAAGAGCCCACTGGCTTTGCAAGATGCTGGGAGGCTCCCAGCAGGCAGTGATGTGAGTACCTGGAGACCCCCTCAGTGCCCGAGCTGGCCTGCCAGCCCCATCCCTGGCCACCAACACGTGGGCTGGGGACAGCCCTGCGTGGCCCTGCACGCTGTAGGCACTGCTTTCCTGGCTCTGGCATTGTCTCCAGGCAGAATATGACACTGAGGACCAGAAAGAAGAAGTGTCCATTGTTCTTCTCTGGGTAGAAAACACTCACAGCTCCAGAGAACTCCACAGGAAGGTCACAGTCAATCATTGTCACCCAGCTGTCAGCGTGAGGGGGCTGTCCTGTGGCTAGGAGATGGAATGGAGCATGGGCAGCGTCAGCCAGAGCCTGCATCACCAACCTCCCCACGCTGGCATCTGCCTGGCGAGGTTTGGCAATCTTGAGAGGAACAGGGGGCCCAGGGAGAAAAAACCTCTCCCTCCGGTGTCTCCGTTGATCAGTGCTTCTGACTCGGTGTTTTGTTTGTTTTGTTTGTTTTGTTTGTTTTGTTTTGTTTTGTTTTCAAATGTGAAGACCTGAGATTGAGCGTGGGTTTTTCCCGTCTGCCACCGGACGCCGCGGCACAGGCTGGCCCAAGGCATCACCTTCCGTCCCCTTCCTTCACCACGTGTAGAGGCACCTGAAGAGGGATGCAATTCCCCAAACCAAGGCGTTGGCAAAGCTCCGAGCGGCGCTCGGACGCTGCTGGTCCCACTACTGGCTCCAGCTGAAGGCTCCTGCAGCGGCTCAAGGGCCAGAGGAAAGTTCACAGAGACCTCACGGTCCGTGTGGAAACGCTTCCCCTGTCCACAGCAGGGCTCAGGGGCTGTGTTTTAGCAGCTGCTCGAGCTCGTGTAAGGGGTGGGGAAGGAGGTGGAGCTGACCCCAATGGGGCTCTCAGAGAGGGGTGTCTGGGGGGTGCCCACGGGCACAGCAACCCCTCTGGCCTCCAGCACGGCGCTGAGCAGGCGCTGCTGCTGCTGCCGCAGCATGTCAGCCATCAGCAGGGGCAGGGAGTTGAAGCTGGCACTGAGCTGCTCCAGCTTGGATTCCAGGCCGCTGATCTGCTTCTCCAGGTCCTCGCTGCGGTCGTTTAGCTCTGTGATGAGGTCGTACATCACGTTCTGCATCTGGGGAGGGGACACAGGGGACAGTCAGTACCAGGGCTGGAGGGGTAAGTGCCACAGAGCTCACTCCTTTCTGCCCTGAGAGCTGCCCCATCTCAGCCCACCCCAGCCTCTCCAAGGGTTCTGCCACTGCAGTTTGGCTTAGCTCACCCTTTTACCCCTTTATCCCTGAGAGCTGCCCCATTTCAGCCCACCCCAGCTTCTGCATCTGGGGAGGGGACACAGGGGACAGTTAGTACCAGGGCTGGAGGGGTTGGTGCCACAGAGCTCACCCCTTTAACCCTTTCTGCCCTGACAGCTGTCCCATCTCAGCCCACCCCATGTTCTCCAAGGCTTCTGCCACTGCAGTTTGGCTTAGCTCACACCTTTACCCTTTTATCCCTGAGAGCTGCCCCATCTCTTCCCACCCCAGCTTCTCCAAGGTTTCTGCCACTGCAATTTGGCTCAGCTCCCCATCTCAGCCCACCCCATGTTCTCCAAGGCTTCTGCCACTGCAGTTTGGCTCATCCCTGGCCACCAAAGCAAGGAAACCCTGCTGGCCCTGTGCTGCTGAGCAGTGGTACCCCTTGCAAAGAGGGTTGCAGGGAACCTCTGGCTCATGAATGTGTATCTCCTGCTTTGCAAGGGCAGCCATCCCACAGCAGCTATTCCTTGCTGACATTTACAGAGCCGGAGCATTTTGCGGTCAGCCAAGTCTGCTTTAGTTATTCCGAGTGAAGAGAAACACTGAGTCTGGCCAAGCCACAGGGTTCCTGTGGGACTTGCCTTTGAGAGGTCGACAAGGGTGTTGGCTTGGTCACTCAGCTTCCTCTGCTCCATCTTCACACTCCGTAACCTGGGGAGAAGGAAAGAGCACGTGGCTGTACTCCCTCTCCTCTTCCAAACTGCATCTGGACACCTGCCTGCATCTGGGGCAAGGCAAAACTGCCCCCACAGCCCTGCCAGGGACAGCATCCTGCTTTATCTGGAGCTCAGCCTGCCCCCAGCCCCCTGCACAGCCTCTTACTGGTGGATGGCTTGTAGGAACTTCCTCTGGTGCTTCCTGACTTTAGCATGGTCGATCTTCTTCAGCAGCTTGGTGTGTTTGTAGATCAGCCATGTTTCCCTCAGGACGTTGGCTGCAGCGTTCTTGATCTGGAAAGGAAGAGTGGCTGCAGGCGCCCAGGCATGTGGGACCTCAGAGACACTGAACCAGTGCTGCACATCCCCTGCCCCAGCTGGAGAGAGGCTCTGCACCCACAAACTCTCCTGGGCTGTTCCAGGGGATGCTGAGCACTTCAAGCAGCAAGAGAGGGCAGAGCTGTTGGCCCCTGCCCTCATCCCTGTCCTGGCTCTTTGCCTACACACAAAGTTGTACCATAAACCTCAAGGAAAAAAAAAAAACCCAAAGTTTTTTCTCCACCAGCTGCCTGCAGGCTGGAGAAAATGCTGCATCTCAGCCTCTTTCTCAGAATTTCTAACATATTCTCCATTGCCATGCTGGCAGCCTCCTGAGGGAGAGATCAGCAGGAGCTTCTGCTGGGCAAGATGGACAGAGGGGCACCTATCTGTGAATCCGGGCAGGTCCCAGGCCAGCAGGTCCCAGTTGTGCTGCTGGTGCTGGGATGTGATTTCTGCAGCTCTGTGCCTGAACCACAGCTCAGCTGCTCCCTCCAGGAGCAATTGGCTGCTCTGTGCCTGGCCTGGAGCCTGCAGATCCCTATCAGTGGCACTGCAGAGGGGCTCAGCAGCTGTTTTGCTCTCCCAGCCTGGTCACACCAAGGTCCTGACTATTCCTGGGGTGTCAGGGCTTTGGCTGGGGCTCTGCTCTCTGGGGTGAAGTGGGTGCCCTGCTTGCAGCCCACCACTGGCTGCCTTTCAAGGGCTGCACTGATGCTTGTTTTGCCACCATCCCCTCTAAAACAGAGCAGAGCCCATTATGTGACACGCCACTGTTGGCTGGCTGATGCTTTGCCATGGTGAGGCTGCCAACACCAGCGACCTCCTGCAGCTCCTCCATGCTACCAGGGATGTGACACCAGTTCTGGTGACCCCACCAGCACCCTGCTGCAGGCTCTCCTCAGGGGAGCCTCACAGTATGGTTCTTATCCGTGGTGGACATGAATCACTGAAATTCACTTATCTTCCTGACAGCAAGAGGAGTGAGATCATGCTCTGGAAGAGGAGGGAGTGTGCTCCCAAAATCACCTCAACCCCTGGAAGACAGCTGCTGCTCTTTGTCTCAGTGTAACACTGCTGCCTGTGCAATATCCACAGCATCTGGAAAACTTCCTCTGCAGTGGTACCCACAGGATTTACCCCCAAAGGTGCCAACACCTTCCTCTCTTGTTGTAGCTCCACTCAGAGATGCTGGCACCTTCTCCCACTGTGATACCCACAGATCCAGAGGTGCTGACACCTCTCTCCTGCCATGGCAGCCCAAATCCCAGCTCCTGGCACACAGCAATGCCCCCATGGCACCTTACCCTCTTGGTCAGCTGTGTGTCCATCATGAAGTTGTGGACGTGCTTCTCAGCTTTGGTGAGCTCCAGCTTCCTGGCCACCACAGCCACCACCAGTGCTGTGCATCCAGCACCCTGTGCAGGGACATCAATTGGGGAACACAGTTTGTCTCTGGTTTGTAACACCAGCACTCCCACCCTCACCCTTGAAATCTGCAGGTTACTAAAGCTACATGTCCTCCCTGTTATCCTGACAAGATCTTCCAGAGCCTGGGTGTCCTTGGCTGGCTGATGAAGGGCTCTGTAATTAATGGGAGAGGCCAGGGCTATTAACAAGGTCAGCAGTGGTTGGTGAGGAGCCTGTGCCAGAGATCTGCCCCGTGCCAGAGATCTGCCCCGTGCCAGAGCCCTGTGGGATGGAGAGCCCTCTATTCCCAAGAGAGGTCTGGGCTGGGAGAGCAGTGGAGAAACACCAGGCAACACGAGTGAGAGCAGAGAAAGGGCCCCAAATCAAACTGGTGCAGCTGGGAGCTCCCTTATGCCAGCAATCAGGGCCAGATGTGCATCCCCAGTGCACATCTGTGCTGAGCTGTCCTTGCCAGAGCCTCCCTGCCGTGCTCTGCTTGTTCCAGCAGGGTCCCTGCCTGCCCCAGAGCTCTGGCAGAGTGCTGCCAGCCTGGCAAGCTCTCTGTCCTTAAGGAGTCATTAATTAACCTGGTGGCCTGAATCCTTCAGTGTCCTCAAAGGTCCTGCTGCACTCTGTGGCTGCCACCACCTCTCTGCTCCTGGATGGGTGATTACCCCTGGTGCTGAGTGCCCAGCAAAGCCTCCAACCCCAGAGGGCATGGGGGTCTCCATGCCTAGGGGTGGGGGGCTGTACTGGGCCTCACTTCAGAGTCACCACTGGCTGGGGAAGAGTTTTGGGAGCCTGGAACCCCCTCAGCTGAGCCAGCAGCTCCTCCTCTGCTGGCAATTGCTGCATCATCCCCATCCATAGGGATTTTCTGCCACCAGCAACACCAGCCTTGCTGCATCTGGCCTCATCCAAGACACATCAAAGACTTGCAGGTGATACAGGATGAATCCCTCTTGATAGAGTCTCTCCAGCTGATGGCATGGGGTCTGCCCTAGCTGGGAGGAGGGATGGCTCCATCCCCAGGGCCTGGAGCTGAGGTGGGCAGAGCTGATGGCTGGGGAACATCTGTGAGGAGCCCCCAGCTGCTCCTTCAGAAGCCCTGGCTGGAAAGGAAAGCCCCACAAGCCAGGAGATCTCGTGGTGGGCTCATGGGGGAGGTACTCTGGGGGCACTGGAGAATGGTGGCCTTTTGGAAAGGAAAGGAACCCATTGCAGGTGAGCAGTGGAAACCAGATGGTGTGGACCAGGATGGCCAAGGGATGCTCAGGTGCCCTTCTGCTCCCTGACTCCACCCTTACTGAATGTGGGTCCAATCCACCCCAAATTCATCAGCTGAGAGAGCTCCATCAACTCCCAGGCTGTGAGACCTCAGAGCTGAAGACACTGGGCCTTGTACATTGACAAAACAGCTGAGAAACAGCTCCTGGTAAATTCCAGTGGCCTCTCCTCCTGAAATGGGGACAGGCAGAGCCCACAGGGGGGAAACCAGCTCAGCATGCCCCTTACCATGATGCCAGTGAGCAGGCAGACTCCCTTGCCACAGTAGGTGTGTGGGACCATGTCCCCGTAGCCTATGGAGAGGAAGGTGATGGAGATGAGCCACATAGCACCCAGGAAGTTGCTGGTTACATCCTGCTGGTCGTGGTACCTGCCAGGGAGATGGGGACATGAGTGTCACAGCAAGGGACAGGGGTGGATGGGGCAGGAATGGGGGAACCTGGGCACAGGATTAACAGCACAGCGGGATGTGCCACAGTTGCAGTGGTTGCACAATTTCTGGCACTGGAAAACCCACATGGACAAAATGAGAGCACAAACTCGGTGGAAAGGGCTTCTGCTTTCAGTCAGAGCTGTCACCACACCCCAGTGCTGTTGTGTGTCCCCAGTGGTGCTGATGGGACAAAGAGCTGTGGCTCTGCAAGGCCCTGACCACAGCAGCTCACCCTTGGCATCCCTCTGGTGCTGTGCCACTCCAGAGGGCAGAGCTGCCAACAGAACTGCTGGGGATGGGTCCTGTGGAGCCTCTGGCACAGCCTTGGCTTCCAGGAACACAAGAACAGCTTGCACACACTCCAGACACAGCACATGTGGAGTGGCTGCAGCTTTGGGAATGCTGCAGATTTTCCAGGTCCCTGCTGCTGGAGATGTGAGGTCAGTGATGACCACTCTGGCTGTCCCAGACTGGCTGTGGCTCTTCCAGAAATCACAAAAGAGGAGCCCCAGCTGCCTCCAGCTCTCAGGGCTGGGCAGGCACAGCCAAGCCAGGCAGGTACAACTCCCAGGGATGTGGTGCTGAGCCCTGGCAGCCAAACTCAGCCCTGAGCTGGCAGGGGCAGGCAGTACCTTCACCCCACCATGAACAGGATGGTTGTTCTCCTGCCTCTCCCTGGCAGGCTTCTCCCAGCCTCTTCACAGGATCTGGAGAGGGAAAACAGATGGAGCTTTTGGCAATCCCAGCTCCAAGAGCATCGCTCGCAGAGCAGTTGGGTTTTCTCCTCTTTCTGAAATGTTTTTTCCCTCAGTTGGAGACTCAAATGAGGTCCTGGTGCAGGAGAAAGCACCTTCAGCCATGGTGAGGGTGGGTTGGCCAGGGGAGTTAGAGCCCACAACCTCCCCAAAATTCCAGTGCCAGCAGTGGAATTATCACACAATTCTCCCAGAGTTAGATAGGTTATGGGCTCTATGGGAGTTAGCACCCATAACCACAGTGGAGCTCCCCAAAATTCCAGTGCCAGCAGTGGAATCATCACACAATTCTCCCAGAGTTAGATAAGTTATGGGCTCTATGGGAGTTAGCACCCATAACCTCCCCAAAATTCCAATGCCAGCAGTGGGGCACACACAATTCTCCCAGAGTTAGATAAGTTATGGGCTCTGTGGAAGTTAGGGCCCATAATCTCAGTTGTGCTCCCCAAAATTCCAGTGCCAGTAGTGGGGCACACACAATTCTCCCATCCAGTGTCTTGTCCTGAGGAGAGCTGAGCCCACCTCACCCCACAGGCTGGAATGTCCCGAGGGAACAACCCCAAAAGCATCATGCAGGACAGGGTGGGGGGTTCCAGGCCTGCTGGACAGAGGGACATTTTCTCCTCTGAGCAGCACTTTGAGCAAGATTGATAAACCAGAGGGCTTGGCCCTGGTTTATCAATTCCTGGGCAGAAAGAGGAGCCACCTGCTCAGACACCAGCACCACTTTCTGGGCTGAAGAACAGAGGGTCTGAGGCACTTTGTGTCACCCCCTGACCTGCACACAGCCACCCTCACCTCTCTGGAGCCCTGAGCATCCCCTGCAGCCCTGCCCTGCGTGTGACAGCACCAACCCCGAGCTCCGGGCAGCTCCGGGCACACGCTGGGGCACACGTGCACTCCGTGGGGCCGGGCGGGCACAGCGGAGCGGCGGGCGAGGTTGCCTAGCAGCGAGAGGAGCGGCCCCGCGGCGCACGGGAGGATGCTGAGGATGCTGAGGATGCTGAGGATGCTGCAGCTGCCCCCACAGCCACGGAGAGCACAGCTCGGTGCCGTTGTTGCATTGTTGCGTTGCAGGGTTTACCCCAGAACCTCGGGTTCCTCACCGATAATTCCCTGCCAGGTGTGTCAGTCACCTCTGCTTTCCCCTCCCAGCCCTGTCTGTCAGTCCTGGAATTCCAGAAGGATTGGCACATTCAAACCCCTAGGGGGACATTGGGCCATCCAGGTGCCCTTTGTCCCTTTGTCCCTGCCCTCCTGTCCCTGCTTGGTGGCTCCCTGCCCCTTCCCTGGGGTTCAAAGGAGCAGCAACCACGGGCTCAGGGAGTTCTGTTGGAGCTGGTGCTGAATTCAGAGGCCTGTGGGCCAGAATAAAGCTCTGGATCCAAACCCTCCATCAGAACCAACTCCTTTGCTTCACCATCACCTTAAAGCTTCTCCAGCAGAGATAAACCTGAGGAGCAGCCCCTGTTATGGGGGAAAGCTCCATCCCAGCACCACCAGAGCTCCTGCAGGCCTGGAATTGTCCCCATGGGCTCAGCTGCAGCACCCAGCCAGCCCAAAGTGTCTGTGGGGTGAAACACCACACACCCACCAGCCAAAAGTGTCTCTAAGGGTGAAATACCAACATCCAAACAGCCAAAAGTGTCTCTGAGGTGAAACACCACACACCCAGCCAGCCAAAAGTGTCTGTGGGGTGAAACACCACAGTTGCTGCTTTTTGGTTCAGCACCAAGGGCCAGACAAGTTCAGGCACGTCCTGTCTGGCTGGATTGGTAAATATTCCAATAAAATGTGGCAGCCCAGCCCCAGGACCACGTCTTGGAGAGGCACCACCACCTCTAAACTACCTGGCCCCAGTGGGTGCTGCTTGGGAATGGTCCTGGAAACAACAGCAAACTGTTTTCCAGTGCCAGTGGGCAGTGTGGACAGGGGGACTCGTCCTGGGTGGCCCCTGTGGAGCTGTGTGACCCTCCCAGGGCTGGTGCATCCCCCAGGGATGTGGCATCCCTCACACACACAGCGTGTCCCAGGGGCTCTGCATTCCCCCAGTCCTGCATCCCCCAGGACTGACGCATCTCCAGCCCACCTGGGTTCTCTTCTGCCTCTCTCTGTACATTGAGGGAGGTGATGGCAACTGCCAATGATCTGCAGTGCCTCGTCTGCATAATTTCTGGGGAGTTTTTGTTCCTGAGAGTTCTTCATTGCATCTTGCAGCCTGAGCCTCGGCAGGGGTTGGGTTACCCTCCCGTGTGTGTTCTGGGTGCCTGTCCTCCTGCTCCCTGCTGAGGAGGCACAAACCACAATTTCTCAAACACAATTAGGCAGTGCCTGAGCTTCCAGCTCATAAGAAGAGCATCATTAGGGGAGGCAGAAAGGCAAATGCAGGCAGTAAAAGCTCATAAAATCTCAGTGTGCCGTCCCACGCCACTGCCACAGCACTTCCAGCTGCCCTAATGCCCCTTTGCAGCGTGACCACAGCAACGGGTCCCACCCTGAGGAGGAGGGGGGTGGCCTTCCTCTCCCTTTGAAAGCAATCTGTGTGTCCCAGGTAACCCTGGGGTGCCAGTTGCTGTGATCCCTCACACCTCAGCTCCAAGGATGACACAAAGCTGCCACACCAGCTCGTGGAGGACCTGCCCTCCTTCCCCAGGTGCTGCTGGCAGCCTGCACTGGAGAAAACCTCCTGGCCCAGCCCTGGGCTGCCACCAGCACAGCCCCCTGGCTCCCTCAGCAGACAAAGAGTGGTGGCAGGTCCCTGGGAGATGGAGGTGCAGCGATACCCACCAGGCTGGTCGCCACAGCAACCCCGGTGCTGAGCACGCTGGTGCTGGCGTGATGCCATCGAGCTGTGGGTATGTCACCACAGTGTTGTCATGGCAGTCACTTGCAGCGATGCTGGAGCCTGAGCCAGGCCCTGTCACTCCCCATCAGCACCTCTGGGCCCTCCCCATACGCAGCCCCCAGCTCCCACCACTCTCCTTGTCCCCCTCTCGTGCTCCTGGGGCGTCTCACAGATGTTCTCTTGCACAAGGACCTGTGAGGACAGGGCTGAGCCTGCTCTGCTTCCTGCCTGTGCCATTTATCATCTGTAACAGCAGGGCTCAGTGCAGGGAGCCACTGAGGCCCCAACACCCCCCTCCTCCAGGCTGTTGGGACATCACATCTCCATTGAGAATTCCAAACTGCCGTGAATCCCAAACCACAAAGTGCTGAGCTTCCAGGGCCACTGCGCATCATCATGCATTCCTGACCTGCTGCACATCCTGAGCTGCTGCACATTCTGAACCATGGAGCTTTCCAAACCTCCACACATCCCAAACTGCTGTTTGTCCTGAACTACTCGTGTCCTGAACTACCGAGCATCCCAAACTTTCCTGCATCCCAAACCTCCATGCATCCCAAACTGCTGTTTGTCATGCTCGTGTCCTGAGCTACTGAGCATCCCAAACCTCCCTGGTTCCTGAACCTCTGTGCATTCCTGAACTGCTACTGCTGCACATCCTGAACTGTAGAGCATTCCAAACCTCCACACATCCCAAACTGCTGCTTGTTATGTTCGTGTCCTGAGCTACTGAGCATCCCAAACTACCCTACATCCCAAACCTCCATGCATCCTGAACCTCTGTGCATTCCTGAACTGCTGCACATCCTGAACCATGGAGCTTTCCAAACCTCCACACTGCTGTTTGTCATGCTCCTGTCCTGAACTACTGAGCATCCCAAACTTTCCTGCATCCCAAACCTCCCTGCATCCCAGACCTCTGTGCATCCTTAATAGCTGAGCACCCCAAACCACCAGACATTCCCAAGCCCTGAGCACCCTGAGCTGCCACAAAGCCCCAACCCCAGCTCATTGCAAACACCCCGAACCCCAGAGCACCCCAAACCCCCTCACCTCTCACACACACGGACTGTCCACGCAGCGATGATCCAGAGGGAAATGCTGAAGACCAGCAGCACTGTCCCAGGGCAGATGGTCATGAGAGTCTTCATGACAAAGCGGGTGTTGAAGTTGATCTTGTTGAGCGCCCCGATGCTGCGCGAGGAGGCATCGGTGAAGAGCTTGCTGTGCAGCAGCATCACCCGGGCGATCAGGTAGAGGCGCAGGAACATGGGGATGGACAGGATGATGTCCACATCAGCCTCTGCCCGGGATGGGGTGTAGGAGAAGGCCAGGCGAGCTGTCCAGAAAAATTTGTACTCCCCGGGGATGGGGTGGATGGCACAGACCAGCATCTCCAGGCTGATGTAGAGGATGCGCTCATATGTCATCGCTATCCGCCAGTCGTCAGCTCCGTTGTCGATCACAAAGAGCTGCCAGGATGCAAAACAGTCACCACACAGGCCCCACAACCTGCCCACTGCCATCCCTGACCCTCCCTCCACAGGATCTGGGGGTCAGAGCTCAGGGGAGCTGAGTGTGGCTCAGCCAGAAGTGTTGGGGATGGATGGGGAAGAAAAACATGGAAATGAGTGACCACCAAGCTCTGTGCTGCCCTGCTGGTGTGTCCCAGGGATGGCCACCAAACCTTAAATGTGCCTGGCCTTGAGCACCCAGGCTCAAAATCTGGCTGGCAGGAGCCCACCTCCCAAAACGTCCCCCTCATCCAGGCCACAGAAATGGGCAAGCCGTGGTGCCACAGAGCACCAGCATGCTCTCCCCAGTCCCTCTGCTCCTGGGGTTGTACTGATTTTGCTGACAGTGGTCACACCCCGAGTGCCAGGGCAGTATCTGGGCAGTGAACGCCACAGTCGGAGCATCCAGCTGCTGGCGGAGATGGGATCCAGTTGTCATGGCAACTGATGGTTCATCCTGGGTACAGCAGCTCCTCTCCCATCCTCAGCGATGGAGTTGGGGTCTCTGCAGGAGCTGGGGAGGTGACAGCTCAGCTGGCCTCTCTGGAATGCCACCAGAGCCCTGGGAGTCACCCAGGCAGGTGACTGGGCAGGGGCAGTGCTGGGGCTGCCATTGGCTCCTCCCTGGTGTGACAGGGACACCCAGCAGGAGGGACCTGCTCAGGGCCTCTCTGCCAGCAGCACTTGCCAAAGAAACCACCAGGAAGGGATCCAAGGGGGGGATGTGGCAGCTGGTGCCATTGTCCATGTCCTCAATCCTTCGCTCACGGAGCGATGCTGGCTCGCTCACAGAGCCAGGGCTGGGCAGAGGGTGAGGGGTGAGTGGGGAGCTCAGCCCTAGCTGGCCCTGGGGCCAGGAACGACCCTCCAGAGGCCCCAGTGCACCTGTGCCAGCCCAGCCTGGCATTTGGGGCTCTCCCTGGGGATGGCAGGAGCCACCGGGGCTGACTCACGGCGTGGCTGTCCCAGCCACCTCCCTTTCTGTAGGGAAAACTCTGCTCCTTTTAGCTGCTTTGTTTGAGAAATTGTTTACAAAAATGCTCCAAGCTGTCAAGGGAGATCCTCAGGCATTTAGCAAGCTGACAGCCTATTCCTTCCTGGAAAAGGGTGTTAAAATAAACAAATTAGCAAGCGGAAAAGGCAGGAGCCTTTTGACTATGTGATGGGGAACTGCCACAGGTCAGAGAGGGGAAGGAGCAAGGTTTGGGCAGGATTCCCCTGAGCCTGAGCCAGCCCCTCCCTGTTCTGTACCTGTAAAGCATCAAAGTGGGTTTCCATGGAAACCTAGAGTGGTTCAGTGGTACCCAGGGGGGCATTTCCCAACACATGCAGCATCCCTGGCTCCAGCAGGGGAGGGAGCAAGAGCCACCACATCTCCAGGAAAACAAAGGCCAAGAAAAGCTATCAGGACACCTCGTGAGGATTAAAGTTTCACCAAGAGCCTGAGCAGCTCCAGGCACTCAAAGCATAGGGATGAGGGGTCTCTGCCCCTCCAGAACACCCTGGCAGGAGCTGACAGCACTGCCAGCACTGCTCTCCTTCACCTATTGTGATATAACATGGTGCTGAGTGATGCCTCAGCCCCAGAGAAACTGAGGCACAGGAAGGCCTACAAAGGACTAATTAACACAATTAGTACGATGATAGAATCACAGACTGGTTTGGGTTGAACAGGACCTTAAAGCTCATCTCATTCCACCCACTTTCATGGGCAGGGACACCTTCCACTACCCCAGGCTGCTCCAAACTCCATTCAGCCTGGCCTTGAACACCTCCAGTGATGAGGCAGCTCCTCTGGGCAAAAGAGGAAGAGGGAATCCTGAGGGAACAGGCTGGAGTCATTGTTTCCCAGAGGCTGGGAGGTCTGACAAGTGCCATGGCCAGGTGAGCACAGTCCCCACCTTGGCCAAGAAGCTGAGGATTTACAGCTCTGGCAGCCCCATTAGATTTCGGTTGGGTTATCAGCAATTTCTTTATAACGCTTTATAACACTCAGGGCAATGAGCAGCCAGCACCACTTTGTTTGGAGCAGATCAAGTCAAACTCATCTCATTGCTTGTCTCCCAGTGCGAGTGGCCTGGCAGAGCACTGGGATCATGGTGAGGTGCAGGGGGACAGCAGTGGCACTTTGGTCAGGGCAGGAGATGTGGGATGACCTATGTGCTGCCTGGGTGGATGTTGTGTTTGCCCAAATCCCTGCCAGCAACAACAAGCAGAGAGGAAACAGCGAGCAGGGAGGGCACAGCTCACCCTGCTGACCCCAGCCACCGTCATCCTGGGGTAAATATTATTGCAGCAACAAGCAGAGCTCTCAAATATTTGCATTGAGCAACTCAACCCCCCAGGCTCGGTCCCCATGGGGGCAGGCAGGGAGTGGGATACTGCTGCCAACCCCTCCATGGCAAAGCCCCCCAGCCCCAGGAGGGACAAGGTGGGGTTTTGGTGCACTCAGGGCTGGGGGTTTGACATCCCTTCCCAGGATGCTCCTTCTCCTGCCTGGTGATTCATTCCTCCCAGGCCCTGAGCGGGCTGGCACTGTGCCGAGGCACAGGGAAGCAGAGCCTTCCTGGAACAAACTGGGAGCCCTTCAACTTCCCAGGGAGGAAGAGAGTGTGCAGCCCTGATTAGGAAAGGATTTCTTGGCTTTCCTTGGCACTTTGACTGCCTTGAGCCCTTCCTGGCTGTGGTCTCCTCCAGCATATCTGCCCAGCACCTGGGGCTCAGACAGACCAAGAAGTGCCCCCCAAGACCCTGCCAAAGAGGAAGGATGCTCCAGGATGCTCCAGGATGTGAGCTCAGGTGCTGTGCCCCACTTACAGGTGGTTGGCAAACCCCACAGCCCCTCCGTGGTGATGCCAGCACCTACCTGCACCTCCCGGGTGTGGTAGGCGATGATGAGGCCCAGCAGGATGACGGTGGAGAGGCTTATAAGGCATTTCAGGGCCAGGGAGAACATGGAGTCCTGCAGGAGGAAAGCAGGGAGGGCATTAAGGGGCACACAGCTGTGGGAGTCTGCTGGCACTGGGCTCCACACCCCAAAGGAAATACTGACCCCCAACACCTGCTATCCCATCCTCAACAGCACTTGTGCTGCTTCAGCTTCCCCCTGAGCAGCTTGACCACTAGTAAGGCCATCATAAGAGCCATCAGCACCACTGGTCCCACCAGCAAAAATAAACAAAAACTCTTTTTAAATTCTGTTCTGCAGTTCCCAGCCTCCCCTCTGAGATGTGCAACACCAATGCCCCGGCCCCATCCAGCCTGAGCCCAGAGTCGTGGTATCCACACAGAAAATCTAAGCAGACCCTTCAGCTAATTATATGTAAATTAAATCAGCCCCTGATTCCCTGCTATCCCATCCTCAACAGCACTTGTGCTGCTTCAGCTTCCCCCTGAGCAGCTTGACACAGTATTAAGGGCGCCATCAGAGCATCAGCATCACTGCCACCACTGGTACCACCAGCAAAAATAAACAAAAACTCTTTTTAATTCAGTTTTCTGTTCTGCTGAGTGCAGTTCCCAACCTCCCCTCTGAGATTCCAGTGCCCCAGCCCCATCCAGCCCGAGCCCAGTGTTGTGGCATCCACACAGAGAATCCAACCAGACCCTGAAGCTAATTAATCTTATGTAAATTAACCCAGCCCCTGATTCCCTGATGGCTGAACTGGCTGTGAAAATCAGGATTCAGTGCTGCCTTTGGATGCTGGTTAACCCATGTGTGTGCCAGCCCCACTGATGGGGAGGACTGGCAGCCCCTCACCAGGCTGTGACCCCCAAACCAGCCCCCCTCAGCCCCCATGCCACACCTCAGTGCCACCCTGGCGTGCTGAGGCCTGGCACACCCGGCCTGCCAAGGCCCAGCTGGCCCATGGCACCCAACCCTTGGCACCCCAGCGTGCTGGGCTGGCTCTGGCCTGGCTCTGGGCTGTTTCTGGCCTGCCTTGCCTCCCTGTTCCCCTGCTCCTCATCCCCACAGGCTGTTTGCACGCAGAGAAGGGACTATTTGCTGTGGAGGCGGCACCGCATTGTTAACGACTTGGCTCTGGCTGTGCAATTGTGTGGATATAATGGCTGGTGCTAAGAAAAGTGCTGTGACTAAACACTACTATTAACAGGCAAGCTCCAAGGGCAGCGTTGTGCCAAGGTGGCTCTGGCCAGACCCTCCTCAGGGGCACAAACCCTGCGTGGGCACCTGGTAAGTGTCACAATTGGGCACCAATGCCTCCTGCATGAGGAGAGCTGTCAGGAAAGGCCATTCCTGGATCCCATGCTCACAGCAAACAACATGGGGTCTTGGCAAAAGTGGGGAAGGACTTTGGCACCCCTGGCACACATCGTGCTGCACCAGGTAATGGAAGGATGCTGCACACAGGTGGTGGAAGCAGCAGAATTGAGAGGCCCTGTGCTGCCCACAGCCAATTGACAGGCAAACCCTGATCACTGTGCCCTTGCTGCCCAGCCCAGTCCTGGCACCCTGTGCCTGGCAGCACGTGGTGGCACGGCTGGGGCCATGGTGCAGGGCTGGAGCTGCACCCCTGCACCCCATCTGCACCACAGGCACTCCCACACCCGTCATCACGGCCCTGCCACCGAGTTCTGCTTTCCCACCGGGGGATTTTCACACAGCTGCTGCAAATCTGGCCCAGGGGCCTGCAGAGGCCAGAGCCAGGCACCGTCCTGCAGCCTGCCCGTGGCTGTCAGCGCGATTGTCGGTGTGACAGAGGGGCAGCAGCGTGTCACAGCTGCTGCATGGCAGCAGCGCTGACTCACGGGGTCTTCCCCAGCTGACACAGCAGCTCGGCGTGCTGGGGCCACTGAGCATGGCAGCGCTCTGCTGGTGAGCCTGGACAATCCCCCTGGCGCCACACGGAGCCTGTCGGGGTGGCTGCGGCTCAACAGGTACCAGATGCAGCTGGGGGATGGTGGTTTGGCTTTGCTCCTGCCAAAGGGGGAGTGGGAACCACCAGGAAAACGCTCTGGCTTTGGAGCATCTTTCTTTCTCCGCGAGGATGCCAGCTTGGCATGCCCCTGCCTCAGACAGAGCAGCGGAGCTGCTGCCTGCACCCCCCTACGCCAATTGAGCCGTGCAAAGATGGGGCTCAGGACCCCCCCCAAACCAGCCTGGGGAGGCAGCAGGGTCCCCAAAACCACAGGGACCCCCGATTGCATGCATTCCCTCCTCCACCTCCCGTGCTCACAGTGCCCATGGGATCATGGCAGGAAGGGAGAGCAGCCCCTTCCCACCGCTCCTTCCCCTTCCCACCGCTCCTTCCCCTCCTCGGGGCAGCACCGGGACCCCCCTGGCTGACCCCCAGCCCCCTCGGCAGCAGCGCCGGCCCCGCTGACGCCCATGGGTGCTGGTGGGGGTGCCGATGCCTTCCCCCCTTCTCTGGATAAGTATAAATAACATGACAGATGTCTATACAAAGAGTTATTCATATCGCTGCCAACCAGCGCAGCCCTGGGAGCAGGAGCTGCTGGAAGGGACGTGGGGGGGAGAATTATAAA